CACAATCAAGGTAACATAGTAAACGTTGCTTATAATTTTTTTTTTTAACACAACACGCATGGAACTTACGGCTCAATGAAGCTCCCGACACTTTCAACAAGCGCCGATGTTGCAGCTGTCATTGCTCTTTGGCCTTATCCAGACGGAGACCTGTACGCTACTCGATTCAAGTAATCAAATTAATTGTAATCGATTACTTTTTAAAGTAATTTTGTAATCATCAGAATAAATTTATTAAAAAGCAATCCAAGCATAATCAGATTACTTATGAAAGCACCAAAATGACTTGTAACCGTTACTACTTTCCCCTCTCCTTCCTAACGCCGTCCTTTGTACAAGCTTCCCACGAAGGAATAATGAAACCCAGTTTCCGACAAGAGAGTGGTTTAGGTGGATTAGAAAAATAAGCACTTTATGGTTAGGGTTATCCCAAACCAATAACGAACAGTGCGAAGGAGACGTTTTCAAATCAGCTTAGTTCTCCGAGGTCGCCACTCCGAGGTGGACGGCTCCCCGAGGTCACGACCGAGACAAGTTGCCTAGGTCTCACGATCCAGACAAGGTTGTGCGGTGCGTCTGCAAAAGTTTAGATGAAACGCCGATGAAACAGCGGAGGCATAGTAAAATTGTTATTACGTATTTCCTCATGTATGATCTACGTACGATCATGTGCCGAACCTATTTCAGCTAATTCCGCTGAAAACAACCAATGCAAATTGTAGATTGGATGCATGCACGGCGTGCCAAGTGTAACATATCTGAAGTATCTAATCGACGAGCCATGTTGAACCGGCGTATTTTTACCTGTAACCAATACTAGTGGTCATCAATAAAAAAGGAATAAGGGCCCGAAATGTTTTGTTCAGGACGCGAGCGGAGGCCAGGAAGGGTTTCCACAAGGACATCCCAAACTCAACTATTATACTTTCCGGACTATCTACATGTGCGGACTATACAAAGTACTGCATATACTTGTTGCGCAAACACAAAGAACGAACACGAATGAGTGGACAAGGACAAGCGCAATTTTCAACTAGACTTATTCGCCTCGAAGCGACTGCGAAGGGTTCGGAGCGAGCATGCTAGGCACGCTACAAAAGAAGAAAATGAGTAGGAAAACATACGAAAATAGAGAGATCCCCGGCGTGCCGAAATCACTGTATCAACCAAGATAAGACTCGAAATTCAGTATTAAACAAGGAAGCTCAAGTGTCACTTTCTCCGGGCATTTCCCTTATTCTGTATATAAAACGCTTCTATCTGCTTTCTTGCGGTATGATCTTTACTCCTGCCGAGGGTCCTAGTCTCGTGAAGTCGTAGCGTACACATACAAGACCCAAAATGCATGGGCAAGTACGCATTTCCTATATTTTTTCTCGATAGCTCATACTCTTGTGCCGGTCATCGACGAAATTTTCCGTTTGGCTTTCCCGCACGTGGGAAAGCCTAACCAATGCGGTAGAGAATTCCACGCGCGGTCTGGCATGCTTTTTGTAGCGGCCACGTGTCTTCTCTTTTTATTTTTCAGACAAAATCCTCGAACCTCTCGTGCCTATAGTGTTTTCTCCGCCCGAAAGTTTGCGTGGCGCGGAAAACACAATAGACAAATTATACTTGCTCACTACCTTCTTCAAAGTGTGGGACACTTTATGTATATAGGGCACCACCTATGGTTGGCGCGCTCTTTGTAGCGGCTCGTCTCGGTTTCTCCGAGTCCCCTTGATTTTCTGGAGCAGCGTCTCAGCGACAGCCGCCATGACCAAACAGGGGAAACCTGCCGACGTCAGTCTGGCCACCTGATTATCATAGTTACTCTGCATTGTGTGTGAGCACGACTTCCTGACAGCAGATCCTACGCAGTCTCTGCCTTGAGCTCGCTTTAGAGTTCTTGAATAGGCCGAGTCAAAAGGCAGCATACCCTTCTGCACGTGAGGGTTCAAACTCTAGCACATAAGATCCTCTCTTAACATCAGTCTGATATCTAAAAACTGGAGCCAGTTGTCGTGAAACTGTTTATCTATGTTTCAACCAGCGTTTGCCAAATAAATATTGCGCAACAGTGGCGTCACGCACGACCACATGGAAAAACTCTGGCGTTATATGTAAAACCAACTGTTAAAAAACTTAAAAGTCGGTTTGTGTTAAAAAATTCAGTAAATATATTAAATTATCGCCTGACAAACCTGCCTAGTTTGAAAAGTCCGCTTAAATTCTAATTTGCGTTCATACCATGATTTTTGTCACGCCAAGAATCTTTTTTGTGGTGCTTTGCAACCGTGCTTTGGCGCACCTTCGACGAAGTGGCAAAGCAGTCGGAGTATTCGTCGAGAAGGTCAATCAGCTGTCGTCACTTCGAGCCCGGAAGCTTAGGGTCAATGTCGAGCTGCGCTGGCGACCTACTCTCCTGCTGAGATGGCGAGGATTCTTCAGTAATGGCGGCGATAGCGGCGGAGTTTTGAAGTTCCTTGACCTGGCTCACGGCTGCACCTTTTGTGAGGTGTTGCGCTTCATTACGGAATTTCATCACGAAGACCACAGTGCGGCCATCCTGAAGTACAGCAACTCGTCTTGCAACGCCTATTTCTCTTCCAAAAAGCAACTGGAGGCTTCCTTCGAGCAGAACTTCGCCACAGAAAGGTTCGGTGAGTCCGACGCGTACGAAAACACTCGACCGCGGCGGTAAGTTCACGTGGCTTGCGAGGACTCAGACTGCAGACAACGTCGCTTTGGGTTCCTCCGGTGGTGAAAAAGGTTTTCGTAGAGTCTACCGGTTTGCTCCGAGATCGATAACGGCACCATACTCGCAGGGGAAGTCCATTCCCAGGATAACGTTTCTAGAACAGTCTTGCAGGACAACGAACTTTACAGGACACGTCTCACCGTGGATCTCGACGCGAGTAGTGCATTTCCCGACTGATGTGATGTCACTTTTCGCAGGCGGCGAGAGAGCCTCCCACACAAGACTGAGTAGTCTGCTTCGGTGTCCACGAGTGCCTATGCGTCATGGCCGTCAGTAGTTATAGTTAGGGTTGTTGGACACTCATGCAGGGACGTCGTTGTGATGCGTAGTGCCGGGAGAGTGGGAGCGCTCCGGCGTTCTTGGAGGCACTTCAGTCGTCTTCGGCAAAGCTACCTCCAGGCGTTGCCGTCCTTAGTCTTCCCGGCGACACAAGGGAGACAGGCTCTCTCGGCCATGGACAAATTGTAACGGTTACAAGTAATTTTATTACTTCAAAAAGTAATCAGATTGCTCTTGTGATTACTGCCTAATAAAAGTAATCAACTGATTACAAAATTACTCTAAAAAGTAATCGATTACAAGTAATGCGATTACTTGTAATGCGTACGGTACAAGTCTGCATATAATGGTCAATGTGTTTAAGTCTGACAATACAATTGGCTTAATAGTGGAAGCATGTTGGAATAGGCTGGTTTAGGCGTCTTGGTTTTACCTCAACAAGTTGAAAATGCTCCAGCGCTTGTAAATTTTATGTTATTTTCTTCAAAGCGCGATTCAGGTGCTTTTCTGCAAAGTAAACAAGAAAATGACAAGGTACAGAACTTAATGGCGAAATTTTGCTCCTTCATTGTGCATATTAAGGAGTCGCCAGCAATATGGGCTCATCAGGACCGCCAACTGGAAAACAAAAAAACGATGTTCGCGTTATAGAGTCAACATATTAGATTATTATCTTGACTCGATGATCTCGACAAAAAAGCCTCGTACGCTAACTCCGGGCTTGTGCAGTGCACTTCGTGTCAGGTGAAGAATTTTGCGATTGAATTGAAGACATTATTCTGAAATGTGGTTATACAATGACGGCTCTATGACTTTACGGCACCACTGGTGCCACAATAAGAGCCCTAATGCCTCATACATGGAGCCAAGGCACTGATAGCAGACGACAATGGTGGTCTTGATTTAGAGTCTAGCCGGATTGTCTAGCCGGATGTTGGTCTTGATTTAGAGTCTAGCCCCTTTTTTCCGCATTTTATATATTATTGTCTCCTTTTAAGTTTGACATTAGGCTCCGAGCTGATTTCGTAGCTTCGTGTCTGTTAGTCCCTTTTCGTCCTCTTGCTGTAGAGCTATCATGTCTACAGGTGTGTACAGAAGCGTGCGATATAAAAACTCTCGGCGAGCACGTGACTTAAAATGCATGCAGCGCATTATCTAAAAAAAATAATAGCTGAACCATTATCGATGCTTGAGCGGTGGATTAAGTTTTGTCAGCCCTGTCCCGTCTTACCCTCGTCACCGAGTTAATGCTGATTTCAGCGCCGAATGTAAAGTCGCTCCAAAACAAATGGAAACTTAAGCCTAACTGAAACAACCGAGTCGACCGGTGGAGATCAGCTCAGAAAACGTTTATTTCGAAATTATTGGTTCCGCCATATCTTTTGACCGGAGTCAAGATGTGTGACAGTCAAGAGGTGGGATTCAGGGGCGAGCTTTCGAGCGCTTTTGTAAAGACTTGGCGTAATACATGACGACACGCGGTTTCTAGTTTATTTCACCTAGCACTACTACTATAGGTGCTGACTCATCAATCGTTTGCCGAACATGTGGAGAGTAAAGAAGAAACTGAAACAGCCACTGAAATGTCTCTCGTTTACATCAAAGCCTCGATGATATCTCAGCGTTCTTCCGTAAGTTAGCACTTCAGGTCTTTGGGGCCACGCGCCCACCTGGTACTTTTTATATCGGTGATTGGTGAAATATTTAATAAAAAATAAAAACCATGCATAATATCAATGTTAGTTTTCTTCGAACATTTAGGGCACGTTGACTGAGGTGCGCCATCGGAAAAACACAAAATGCAATTTAGTTTCGTTTTAAGTTACGAGTCTTCTGAAACACAACAAGCTATGGCGCTAAAAAGTAAATATTCCTTACAAGCCGTACACACAAAAAAGAAATTAAATGCTTGATACGCATCTGACGTTTAAATCTTGGCTGAACAAAAGATAAAAAGAAAAATCTTTGTTTATTTGTTTTATTAGAAATTTCTGTAATCGTGTCGTCCAACACAATCTCCAATGCCATATGTTGTGAGATTTGAACCGCAATGTCTTTTGAAGGCATTAACGCACTGCGGTGGAGGACTTGAAAAGGAGTGATTTGTTACCCACAAATTACACGCTGAAAAAAAAAAGCCAAAAATTATAAAGCTTTTTCAGATACTTTTTTTTTTTTTTTTTTTTAAATTAGTGTCACTTTGTCACGCTCTCACAACAACATGTAGTACGAAGATGCGGCTAGGGAACGTATTCGAATGGAATAAATATCAAACTCGCTCAAAAGCAGGAAAACGAAAAATATTTTCAAACATCCGACATTAAGGTAAGCATTTGTACGAAGTACGAAAACAGAAAACCAGTGTTTTTCTTCGCCATCGATTTGACCGGACAGAAGAAATTAGCATGAAGTTGGGAGCAGTTTCTTTCGCTTCATTTCGGTTTTTTGCTATTAATCCGGACTCTACAGTGACTATATACACTGTACTTGCTGTCATTTTGATATGAAAAAAAAATGGATTATTTCTATAAAATGTTTTGTTTTTATTTGTAACTGTTGGTTGAAGCAAGTATGGAAACGAAGGTAACACCTAGTTGTACATTCATAGGAAATTCGTTTCGTAGCATACACCACTATACTATTTTAATATTTACTTAACATCCTATTTCGGTGAGGAGAACACACAGACGCGGTGTTTAAGTCTTAAGATTATAAGAAAGCAAAACGTAAAAAAATAAAAATGTCTGTTTTTATTTATATATTTATCAACACACTCTATAAATTACAAATGGGCACAACTATGAGCTCACACGGAACAAAGAGAAGGAAGGCAGGGGCACCCTACTAAGACAGATCTTACACAGACGCTGCGATAGGCACTCCGGTGGGCATTTTAGAACGTTACTTGAACATTTTAAAACTGTGTCGTAATCTGCGACAATTAGAGCTCTGCGTGATAAGCTGCTTTTCTCTTAAGGCTCGTTCACACATGTGCGTGTCAGGCTGACGAAGTGCGTTGTGATTACTGTAACTGCTTAACACACTGGCACACTTGTGCCATGCATCGGGTAGACCAGATTCACATTTAACCTGTGTATGTTATGCAGTATTTGCGTGCTCAAATCTACACACTACTTATGGGAATGTGTTGCTTATAACATAGTTGGAATTTTCAAGCTCAAGGTAAAATAATAGAACGTTAAAAATTAAAGACATAAGTGAGTCTGTGAGTGATAAAATGTTTATGAAGTCATTGGATTATCACCGGCGGTTGCGCAATTGCAGGGCTTTTGTAGGAGGTGAATAAAAATATCAACAAAGGCCGGTGCTTTACACGTAGGATAACACTGACTTATGCAATATTATTCTGAAATTGTAACGTGGTCCTCCTGCTTTATCCGTTCTTCGATATTTCTGGGTTCTTTTCCCGTCGTCGCCGGCTACGTGCTCCTCTCGGTTGTACCACGAGCTACTTCCACCCCAGAGAAGGTGCCTAAGGTTGCCTGCGCTCATCTCTTCGCAGTGTTTGCACTCCGGGGGCACGGTATCGAGGTTGAAATTCCTCTTCTTGCTTCTTACGTCTTCTTACAGCTTAAGGATGGGACGTGAAATGCTCACAAGTATTTTCAAACTGGAAATACCAACGACAACCAATGAGAGCTACGGTGACGGTATCATGGCGCTCGTAGTGAACCGGAAGTCTTCTCAAGCCGACCGCGCAATAAAAAAGTACAAATTCCGCGATGTTCTTGAGCTCCGCAAACCCCATTTCCTTATTCCAAGAGATTAAACAATTAATTACGCTCCATGAGTTTGCAGAGCAGAATCTACTGATCCCGACCGCTACGAATATCATATTATAGCTCACAGAGGGACTGAGAGATATTAATTCATTAAGCACGCTCAACGTCATGCAAAGAATTACGCACGTCTGAGCCATCACTGGTATGTAGAAGGAAGGCTTTTAGCTGTATGAACTGCATTGCAAAATCTTACTATTCACGTTCTAAGCATAACGTGATAACCTTGTTGTGCTTGGTACCCGAAAAGATGATGACAAAAAGATGCGCGAAGGTCGAATTTAAGTTATCGTAGGTAGTGCAGCAGTCGGCGTAAAGATGATCGTTGGAGAGGAGAGGCCGACAAGCAACATGCATGGTTATAAGCAACCAAATACTCGCAGAACTATACAGCACAACAAAAGTAAACGTAACAAGAAACCTAATCATGTCAATACTCAACAGATTCTGAAGCTGTCAGAGTGAAGCGGAACTGAAAATATACAAACAGTTTGACCGATCAATTTAAGGGAAAGATAATAAAAGGAATCGCGCAAAAAAATCGAAAGGTTTAGGGAACACCTATAACATAAATCACAAGAATAATGGCGCTGTTGGTTCTCTTGGTAGATTCATCGTCGTCTCTCTGCCTTTCTATCGTCTCCCATCCTGTCTGAGTCTAGGAACAGTACACACGCCTGGGATTTGTCTTCAACACTTCTGGCGTGAAACAGAAGTAAGTTCATGAGAGCATTCATTTCCATGGGGCCGATTGGCCTCAAGTTGGCCAGGGTCTTCAGGATTTCTTGTTGCTTACATGCCTTGGTGATATTGAGGGATCAAACTGTGCGGCCTTGGAGCCCTTTCTTCACAGCATTTTTGGACTAGAATATTGTCACCGAGGTGTACATCTGAAGCTGCGATTTGGAGTCGCTTGTCGTAATTTTTCTTCGTTGTCGGTCGTTCTTTTTTTTTTTTTTTTCGCGATTGGACCTGTGTCTGTTCTCGCAGCGCCATCTTGTTGGCTAAGCCCAGAAGTGTTCGACAGGTAGCGATGGGTTGTCTCTACATGCTGCGAATAGTAAAGGTTTAATTCCAATCGAGTTGTGTGGAAATTTTGCTGGCGATAAAACGGCTTCTTTAAGCGCGCCCTCCCTTCTCCTTGTGGTCTGAAGATATATTGTCAATAATTGTTTAATGTCACATGCCAGCCATTCAACTAATGCACATACATCTGAATGATAAGGAGCGAAATATCGATGGCTTGATATCCCTTCTCGCGCCCAACTTTAGAACATCTTGCTGGGAAGCACCAGACCACTTTCTGAATTAAAACAATGATGTTCGTATTAGAATAATTCTGTTCAATCAGTCAAATGACAAGGTTGGCGTCTCCTCTTTCCAGCCTTGGCAACCGGAATGCGAACGCATTATTCAATGACGATAACAAAAAAAAAAAACATTTTGTGTTACGCATAGATCAAGATGAGTGATCGTAAGGATACGTCAGATTACTCAGACATCCCCATTTTACCCCTTCCTCCCCCCCCCCCCAAGTCGGTACTTGGTTTATTTAGGTGTACGGTATTCCAGGTACAGTATGCTCAGCTGTTAAACATAACGCGGGAGCGGTGGCCGAAACTGATACCAGAGCTGTCTAGCGATTAAATCAATGATGCGGCAGAGAATACGCCGGCTCTTCTTGGGATTGTCGTCACTCCCCGATACAATTATCGCACGACCCTCCTCGTTCCTTTCTTATCACTCACGCTTTAAATTTTTACTTGTTTGTTTTGTTGTATTTTCCAGTCTGTTTAATCACATCTACGCATTTACCATGCCGGGCTAGTATATCTCGGTGATCTTGCAGTTTCTCTAGTAAAAGCCACCTTCTTTAAAAAAAAAAGTCAAAAAGCGTTTTTGTTTTTTTTTATCGCCGAGTTACGCATCGGTGATTGTTTCGGAGCTGGGAGTGTAACTCCAGAAAACGACAGCGGCATAAGTTCCAGCGTGAGCCGGTAGATGGCGCATGCAGTCTCTCCGGCCACCGCTCCCAAGTTATGTTTAACAGTTGAGTACACTGTACGTGTACAATTGGCAACGTTGTCCTTGATGTCATTGTATGTAAGTGTGCAAACCCAGGAGTGTCGCGATAAAGTTGTAGGATTGGAGAAACACTGATGTCTGACACATACAACTTTCAATCTCGTTTTTCCATGCCCTATGCACAGTTTTCAGCAAAACATTGCGAAGCGCGGGAGCACCAGCCAAATTGACTGGTTGGGCCTTCTGACGGTGCGCGGCCGCTATCAAGATTCACGATTCCAGAATGCGCTCCCTGTAGTACTCGCAGTCATGTCCCCTGCACTCCCTTCCGTCCGACGCGCACGAGATGACCGAGACCAGAAGAAGGTGCCTCTTTCTCAGCCGTCATGCAGCGCGTCTGCCTCAGCCACCGCGTTAGGTGACGGTTCTCGAATGCTACACATAATTTTTCGCGGCACCTTCCCCAGTCACTGTTATATAGTCAGCGTCGGACGGAAGTGAACAAAAGAAATCATGACTGCGAACACGAAATAATGCGCATGCGCAAAGCGTAAGGCTTGATAACGGCAACGGGCCGTCAGAAGGAACAGCCAGCCTTTTCAGCCGGTACTGCCGTGCCCCTTATACTTTTGCTGCTGACTGTACCTTCCCACATTCGGTCGAAGTTGGTGCTTCAGAAAAATATTTTTCTGGTATTATCAAGTCTGCAAAGGGCATCTGTATCGCTAAGCTTCTCACCAGGTTGATGGCTGACGTCAAGCAGGAATTAGTGAATTTCGCTGGTACCCCCCGTTTAGTCATGTCTTTGGTTGAGTCAAGCTGAAGAGGTAAATAAGAGGTGAGTTGAGAGGGAACACCCTTATAAATAGTGTCTGTAGTACTTTATCCCATATAATACACCCCAGAACTTTATTTTGATTTCAGCGCACGCACGTCGTGCCGAAGGTGCCAACTTTCACGAGCGGCTGACAGTTTAGTGGTAGAACTTATTAAAATAATTAATGTACAGAGCGCGACACTGTTAGAGCGAACAAGCGATCGCCGATTTTTCCAGTTTTTCTCTTTGAAACCAAGGGATGTCATCCAAGTTATTATTGCTAAGGGAAGAGCTCATTTAGTTCTCTAATGTAAGCGATCAAGTTTCGTGCTCGGTAACACTATTTAGAAGAAAAATCCGAAAATGTGCCGATGTCGTGTTCGCGCTAACAGTGTCGCGATGTGTACGTGTACATCTATTGAAAAATTAATCATTCTTGGCCCTACTGTAAAACACCAGTGTATTATTTGTAGTCTTCGATA